GTGAGGTATGTGAATGTCATGTCTGTTTTAATTTTTCAGTAAAGAAGTAGCTTTCTGAAAGCAATATATTTATTTAAACAATATTACATGCCCTCACACTAGTGCTGCCATTACAGAGACATTAAACAACCACACAAAGTGGTTGAAATTATAAAACCGACTATTTACCTATCCTTACTGATGTGGATGCACCTCTATCTGAAAATGTTGAAAAATTGTTTTCTTTTTTTAGGCCACTGATGAAGAACAGGTGGTGACTGGGATGAATGCTGGTCAAAGAGGAGAATGTCCTTTCCCCCAAACTGATGCAACAGTGGTTTTAAAGGAGGAGGCTGCCCTGGATAATCTAAAACATGTCACATGCCTTTGCTGTGCTGATGGGGCTTCTTCATGACTACATCAATTATGCTAAGCAGATCATGAAAATTGGCAGCGATGCCTGATCTGTATTCATGGACTATGAAACAAACTGTAAGTGTATAATTTGTAAAAAAAAAATGTTAAATGCTTGTTCTGTGTTATTGTTTACAATAACAGTAAGTTTACACTCATTCATACACATGCTCACATTCTTTCACGTGTTTCTGATATATGTTATAATATCAGTGTTAATGTTGTGGTTTATTTACTGTCATGCCAGAATAGTTTGTAAAGAACTTAACTATTAACTAATTGTACAACTATTGTATAATAGTGTTTTTGTATTTTTTTTTTTTTATACAATTTGCCAAAAAAGTCCAATTTGATCTTAAGTTATATTCAACAAATGTTCAATGCTTCATTTATAAACTCTGTAGCTGTCAATGCCATACTTTTCTGCATTTTTTTTCTTACATGTTACTTTTGACTTTTCTCTTGTTTTAAATAAATATTAACTTTTTCATAGTCATTATGTGTGTGTAAAAGTGATTTTAAAATGAACAAGATTTGTAGGTTTAATGTCTAGCTTGATTTGGGTTCATTTTAGCCTAGCAGTGTAGTAATTTTAAACCATAAAAAA